ATGTTATGGAAATGCTTTTTTTATTCCATAAATTAAATAATTAATTGAATTTTTTTAAATAGATGTATATATACACATACATATATATGTATGGATACATGTATATGAACATATATGCATATTTAACATGAAAGAAGCTCGATGAATACATGGAGAAGGAAATGGCAAACCACTCCAGTATTGCTGCCAAGAAAACCCCAAAATGGGGTCACAAAGAGTCGGATATGGCTGAAACAACTGAACAACAACAACAACGACAATGAATGCAGGGCTCTGAGCTCATCCATTCTTTGTCATTATCTTCACTCGTCCAAGCTGAGCATGAAAGAAACACAACTATGGAAGAATCTAAGACTCAGGACATGAAATCTAATATGCTAAGAAAGAAATTATTCAACTCTTTGGTCCCTTGGTATTCCCCACATCACCATCCTCCAAGGATGCAGGCACAGTATATAGAAAGCTGGGACTTAGAAACCACAAAACTTTTCACCTCAATTCAGAGTCTTTCAGGAGAGGATAGTAGAAATGAAAGTCTCACATCTGTGCACAAGTTGTAATTCTTCAGGTGATTAGACAAAATCCTACATGCACAAATCCCCAATTTCTCCCACAGGATTGCTTCTTACTAAAATCCTTCTCCCTCAAGGAATTTTGCTCTTGTCCTAGAACAGTCTTTGCCTCTGCTCTCATGGAGGACTCTGTGCACATATTGTCTTCCCCAGTAAAGTCATCAAGAGCAGAGCCTATTTCATTCTCATCTTTGTATCCCTAGCACCTAGTCTGTCAATCAGTCAACAACCATTTATTAATGCTTACCATACGCTAGGCACTGTGCTAAGAGCTGAGGATACAAACTCAAGCAAGAAAACAGTCCCTGCATTCAAGGAACTTACATTCTAAAGGGAGAACGCAACACATAGACATCTGGGGAATCAAAATCATATCCAGAAAAGGAAATGAAGACTGCCCTGGCTCGGGACCTTCCACAAATTGAAGGTTCAGGGAAGAACTCACCAATAGGAAAAGGGGGCCAAAGTGTGAGGAAGCAACTGAGGCATGGTCATAAGAGTAGGCAACATAGTGGAGAGAGGACAACTTATAAAAGCTCCTAGTTGTTGGATGCAGCTCTTAAATGTCCTGGCACATTTTAGATTCTTAATTAATGTTTGTTGACTGATAGATTGAGTTACAATACATAAAGTAGCATTTCTCTGCATCTGGACCTGGGATTGCCTACCATGAGGGCTGTTTAGGCAACAAAAATGACACATTGGAGGACAATGGGACATCTATATGGTGACCCAGGTTTATCATGGGAGGAGGATCAGTGACTCATATTACCTTAACCCTTTGTCTGACAGGCAGTGTTCACTTAAGTTTTATTCAATGTTTCATTTCATGTTTCCAAGATTGTGAGACCTCAGAGCAGATGCAATAAAGTACCATGAACAAAGACACAGATGGGTTTACTACCTCTTTGTTTCAAAAGTAAACCCTGCTTCTTGCCAGAGAGTTCTAATCAGAAAGTCAAATTTGCTTGGAAGCTCCCCCAGGATTGAATCCCATCTGTACTAGGGTCCCCAGGAATCTGCCTATTTGAATTCCAACTCCTCTGGGCTTCCAGCAAGTTTCAGAAGGACCCAGGAGACAAGGTTTAGACAAGACGACTCCATCTCACAGAACTCTTAGCCCCACCTCCAGCTCTCAGAGGCTAAAAGGTGGATCTCTTTTTAATAGGCAGATCTGCTGCAAGGCTTCTACTTAGAAGCCTAAGGTAACTCTGACACCGTGTTTGAGCCAGTGCTACCTAGTAATATGTAAGTGAACCTCAAAAATAGTAATATTAATAATTAATATCAAGATATGAAAGGCATAAGACTTGCTATTAGGTCTCTTGTATTTATATGGTTCTCTCAACTGACAGGATTCCATAGAAAAGCCACAAACACCCTTGGACCTGGGTCACATTTAGTGGGAAGGGTCAGGGGCATCACTGCTGACTTCCATCCCTTCTGGCTACTGATTCAGCCTTTGTTGGAGGTTGGGGTAGACCTGGGACATACAAGCAACACAAATACCTATGATACTTTGAAAACTTTCAAAACCTACAGTTTTTATAGATTTTTTTTCACTAGGCAGGGTTATGACTTTCTTTTAACCAACTCTTTTTTCTCTTTCTTTGTCCTCTCAAATCATACATTTCTCATGAGGTCATCCTATTCATCTTGATCATGAGAAATGGTTTTGTTTTTTAAAAGAACCCAAGAATATGCCTCAGGTTAAGCATTTTACATGTGCCTATAATTGAAACATCTATTTATTTAATCAGCATGAGGAAGGAACAACAGGTTGAAACCTGGTTACTGAGCAGATAAACCTTAGGGAGTTTCCTAAGGCAAGCAGAGGTTAAATGACTTGCCCAGGGTCACACAGCTAATACACATCATAGGCAAGATTTTAACTGAGTTCTTCTCAGCTAGGTGGCACAGTAGATAGAGTGGCAGGCCTGATGTTCAAATCTGGCCTCAGACACTTACTAGCCATGTGACCCTGGGCAAGTCACTTAATCTTGTTTGCCTCAGTTTCCTCATCTGTAAAATGAGCTGGAGAAGGAAATGGCAAACCACTCCAGTATCTTTGCCAAGAAAACCCCAGAATAGAATCAAGAAGACTCAGACATGACAAAAACAACTCAACAACAATCAGATAATCATTTGAATAATTGAATTGAGTAATCCTCTTGAATAATCAATAATAATAAATGCCTCTATCTTATTTATATATAAACCACTCGTGGAGGAGGAATGATTCTTATATCCAAAAAGAAGGGGGTGGGGTCATTTTCTGGCTGGGACAGCTAGGTAGCAACATAGTGCACAGAGCCTCAGGTAAGGAAGACCTAAGTTCAAATTTGGCCTCAGACACTTACTGGCTGTGTACTCCGGGCTATATAACATAACCTCTGTCTTCCCCTGTTTCCTAGACTGGGATGGGGGTAACTATAGCATCTAACTCCCAGGGTTGTTGCGAGGATCCATTGAAATATGTAAAGCTCTTAGCACAATGCCTGGCACATAATAGATACTAGATAATGCTTATTCCCTTTTCCTTTCCCCTAGTTCAGATATTAGTCAAATACCAGAGATCTTTATAAATATGAGGCAAATATTTAAGCCTTAAAAGGTGCTCGCATTGTGAAGCTTTCATATTCTTTGCCAGCATTTCTTATCTGACAATGTTTACATATTTTCATTCTTTCTTACCTCTTTCACTATCCATTGATCTCATTGTTAAGTCATTCCCTGAGTAGGTTCTTTCATGCTTTAACATATATTTTCCTGTCCTACTCCATAAGATATTTACCACCTGTATCACCTCTCTCCGCTGTGCACATTTTAGAGACTTTGTAAAAAAAATAAAAATAGTAATAGCTAACATTTATATCCCACTATATGCCATTCTATAAGGGAGAAAAATGTGTAGACGTATAAATATATTAGAACAATAAAAAATAAGAAGCATTTATATAGCTCTTTGAGGGTTGCAAAACATTTTTACTAAAATAGCTAGCATTTATATAACACTTCAAAGTTTACAAAGCATTTTGTGTAAGTGAGCTTAATCAATCCTCACAACTCTGAGAGATAGGCACTATTATTATAGCCATTTTACAGATAAGGAAACTGAGGCTATAAAAGGTTAAATGATTTAACTGGGATCATACAGCTAGTAGTAAGTAGTAGAACTCAAACTCAGCTCTTCCCGGCTCCAAGTCCAGCACTCTATCCACTGTACCATCGAGCTACAATAAATAAATAAATAAAAAGAAGGCAATTTGATGGCATTGTCAACTAGGGGAGCAGAAAAGGAGATGGCATTTGAGCTGAGCTTATAAAGAAACTGTGGCTTTGAAGAGGCAGAGGCGAGGAGAGCCCGAATGCCATGGATGGGGACAGGCTTTGCAAACAGAAATGGGAAATGGAATGTCCTGTGCTAGGAACAGCAACAAGACTTTTTTTTGGGGGGGGGGGGGGGGCTGGCCATGGGTACATTAAGGGGAGTAATGTACAGTAAGACTGGAAATATAGGTTGGAGCCAAGCTGTGAAGGATTTTAAACTGCAAATAAAAGGATTTGTATTTCATCCAAAAAGGAATCAGGAACTACTAGAGTGTACTGAGCAGGTGAGTGACATAGTCAATCCCATGCTTTAGGAATATCATTTTATCAGCTTTGTGGAAGATAAAGATGAAGCGGCAGGTAGAGCAATTAGGAAGTCCCTTCATACGACCTCTTTTTATCATTTGTGTCACCTCACTTGGTCAGTTTGAGCTCTAATGGCTCATAGTGACTGTCAATAGCAATTGTTTCTGTTTTGACCAGAAACCCAGACGGTCTTCCTCTCAGACTGATTTTTTTTTAAACTAGGTAAAAGACTCCATTCTTCACCTCATTTCTTTTTTTTTTTTTTTTATGGCAAGTGGGGTTAAGTGACTTGCTCAGCTAGTAAGTGTCAAGTATCTGGTCTGAGGTCAGATCCTCCTGACTTCAGGGCCAGTGCTCTACCCTCTACAACACCTAGCTGCCCCTCTTCACCTCATTTCTTACCTAGCCTTAATCACTAAATGGGTGTTGCCTCAGGCAAACTGAGACCTGGGAAAGCCCTTAGTTTAAAAAGGCCAAGATCTCCCACTACATCTAGGGCCATCTGCAGTCATCCTGGTCTGTATCTTGCCACTAAACCTAGATGGCTCCAGAGGACACCTGATTCTGTGCAGTTCTTGTCCATACTCTGTCTACATCCACAGAAGGAATCCACCCAATGTTCTGGAGGATTTACTATAGGTTTTTTAATATTGCTAGCTTATCTTCCATATATATTATATTTTTTAAGTATATTTCTCACTTCCCTGGGATTCTGAAAAATGAAGTACTTTTGAACTTTAACCATCGTTTTTAATCCTATAATTCTGTTTTGAGCAGAATTTACTTGTCTAGCACATGGTTCCCACTCTTGAAAGGCAAATGGACCCTTTGGGACTTCTTTAAAGAACAAAAACATTCTCTCCCTCCACCAACTTTTTTGTGTGGGTAAGTGTTCTATATTTGTAATGCAAAAGAGACCCCAATGTGTATGGAGCTCCCAAAAAGGAATTAGGCATTTAGATTTGATTAGATATCAACCTTTTACCTTGCCATAAAATCAAGGAATCATAGGTAAGTCCCTAGGAAGGAACATATGACCCAGAGCTCCAAAAGCTCTAAGCTCACATGGATTGATTATGTCTAGCCCCAGACATTGACCAAAAGTAATCTCTTTAGCCCATTTTGTTCTCACCTAGAGTTTACTCTGCTAAATTTTCAGTTCTGCTTATGTCTAGATTTTCATGAATGTGGATATCAGGGTCTTTATCTCCTGTACAAGCACTCAATTTAACACATACATGTTGGTTAGTGGACAGTCTTTATTTTACTCCACAGAAAACTCAGAAAGAAGAAAAAATTCACAGGAACACATAAACATATATAAAAACAATATGTAAAGAATTCACGGTAATTTATAAACTTCTCTCAGAAAGAAATGGAACTTAGGGCTATGAATGGGGCAATATATTCAAGTAAGAACCTTCCCATAAAGTTCTGTATAGTTCTTCTTAGAAGAACTGCCACCTTGTGGTTTAGACCCTTCCCCTTCAAGAGGGTAAACATACTTCAGAGTTTCTAAACAGTCTTCCCATTAGATATACAATGTCTAAATCAATTATGGTAATACAAAGGGGTATCATGGTGCCAATCTCTTGGCACCTCATATCCTAGCTTTAGTCCTTTGCCTGTAGGGATTATATAGGCAATACTCTTCCTTCCCCAAGAGGGGAAAGGGGAAAGAGGGTTCCTGTTTAGGAACCAGATCAAATTACCTAAATGTGCTCTTTCAATGTTAACTATTATGATAATACATTGTTAGAAATTCTCACTCTTGAGGTTACTTGTGAAGCAACTTCTAGGCTAGTGCTGCTGAAGAAGTCTCCCTCCTCTGACTAGATGCATAGATTACAGAAGTATTACATTTCCTCAGAAATCAAGATCTTTTGTCTTCTACACAAGAGGTTGGGGTTTAGGCCTATTGTCCATGAACTCCCCTCCCAAACATGGGAAAGCCCATGTTAGCATCTGACATTTGCTTCTGCAGGAAATTTGGGTACTCCACCACTACCTCTTTTGCCACCATATCTTGACCTTAGAAAATTCACTGTCAAGAATTCTCTTCTTGGATAAGCCAGTTCGAAAGCCCTTGGTAAGCACTTGTCTAATTCTTGGTACTTGTTAAAAATTAACTAACTGTTCTTTAATACTTAGGGAAGCATTACACATAGTTTTAATAACTTAAAAATAAATACATGTCATCACCATCACCACCACCATCCCCAAGAAGTGAATTTCATTATTTTTTTCTGAGAGATGAGAATTTTTAATTCAATTTATAAAACAAAAATGTTAAGGTTGAAGATTTTCAGACATTGACTTTAGCTGAGTTTTGTCAGGTGGAGAACGTATTGTTGACACTATTAAAGATGTCATTAAAGGCTTGTAAGTAGGAAATGTATCTTAATGTAAATCAGTTTTTGCTATTTAACAAAAACATCTAAGACTTCTATTTGTTGATACTGTCCCAGAAACAGTGATGAATGATACATATCAATTTACATAGAAAATTCTATCATCTTTCTGCTGAATTAAGTTATCCTCTATCTACTAAATTTACTAACAATCAATCATTTTCTATGTTTCTGCCCCAAGACAGTAATTACTGATTTGGGGCTGGAGAGACTGGAGAAAGATCCCTTCCCCATTCCTGCTGCATTTCAGAAGAAAGGTGCAAGGGAAAAGGGGCGGCAGAGGAAGAGGAGGAGGTGAACAAGTCCAGACCAGGTTTGTCAGCTCATTGAAGAGTGGCTTCTCAGGCAAGAGTCCCAGCCAAGCAAATTGTTCCAGGGTCCCAGAAATCTATCCTTTAAGAGTGAACAAGATTCTCCAAGTCATTTCATCTCAGTGTAACCTTAGCTTCTTCAAGCTATTCAAGAATTGTTTTTGTCCTCTTAATGAGGACTGTGAGCATGTCCAAACTTGATAGTAAGGGTTCTTAATGTTTTTTTTATTTGTCGTGGATAACTTTGGTAGTCTGGAGAAGCCTATGAATTCCTTAGAATAATGGTTTTAAATGCATAAAATAAAATACATTACAAAAGAAACCAATTATATTGAAATATAGTTGTCAAAACATTTTTTAAGTTGGGATGTTGTAATATATGTGCTTCTTTATTAGTACACTTAAAAAACAAGATGATACATTTAAAATATAGTCAGGTTAAAATTAAATTTATGTTGCAAGGGGCAGCTAGGTAGCACGGTGGATAGAGCATTGGTCCTGGCCTCAGGAGGACCTGAGTTCAAATCTAAGCCTCAGATACTTACTATCTGTGTGACCCTGTGCAGGTCACTTAACCCCAATTACCTCCAAAAAAAAATTTATTTTGAAAAACATAACAGGGTGAAAGCTGTTGTTTCTTAGCTTGATTAAGAACAAAGAGTAGCCTTTTGACAAGGCAACATGAATGTCGTATTGGACATCAAGTCAATTTTCAATTGTAATATAATAGAAAAATATCATTTTTATTTGTATTGCTAATATTATGGTTTGTTCTCTGCATTGATTATTGAAAGAAATGATAAATTTCAGTTAGAAGTTAGTGCAAATAAAGACCCCTAAGGGGTCCATGGATTGCAGGTTAAGAAACAAGGCTATACAAGAAAAGAAATAAACTCATCAAATTGATGAGAGGGAGAAGAAAAACCCTACTATATGTTTATCTTCTTTTGACTATGACAGTTGATCTACCCAATTGGATTTATATTGAATGAAAGATGGACCCACTGTGGCAAATGTATCTGTGGTCATGAACTGTAGTCACATAGTTATAGGCAGGAATGGGTGGGTCCAAACCTGCACCCACTGCAATGTGCACTAACCTCTAGGAGACCACAGATTTATTGTAGCAACAGTTAATCATTTGTAGCAAGTTGTTGAGTGCTGACTCAGTGATCTGTCCTGTTGGTTTAGTGAGCCCTCTTCCTTGTCCTAGCTTAGTTATTTGCTTTGTTGGACCTAAGCAGGGAGAATAGTAGGATTTCTGAGTTGCTGATCCAGCCATACCAGAAAGGGAGCGGATCCAGCACCCTACTATTTGCAGGTATCTCTGGTGTATTGTTCTGACCTCGGCTAAAAGGGACAGAAAAGGAGACAGATGCCAAAACCTCCCATTTGCTCTTTTGGAGATGCCTGTATTTTGCTTCCAAATACCATCCAAAAGCTCCTAAGCAATTCTCTAACTGCTGAAGTACCTCAGCTTAGAAAGGATGCTTGATAAAATGAGGTGGTTGCCAAGGGCATAAGGAATGTTGCCCATAGGGTATGATATGCATAGAGGTAGCCCCAAGATGTACAATGCTTTGGCAAGAGTTTCCTTCAGTCACCATCTTTGGCAGGAACACAGTTTGGACAGAAAATGGACTGAAAGATAACGCAGCCTGGCTCGGGTTCAGTCATATCTACACAATGCAGACCAATAATAAGGGGCCTGAAAAAAGCAGGGCAGTAAGCTCTAGATGTCCAGGCCTACTTGAGCATAAGGAGGCTGATCTGAGAGAAAGAAGAGAGGTTCATTGTCACTGGGTCCCCAAGGAAAAAGCAATGCGTAAAATGACAAATGAAAAGGTGGTATAATAGAAACAGTAGTGGGTCAGGGTGTCAAAAGACCTGGTTTTTCATTGCAACTCTGACTCTGTGATGGGTAAGTCATTTAATTGCTCTGAGCCTCAGTTTCTTGATCTGTAAAATGAGGGAGCTGGCTTGGACTCAGTGACATGTCTAATGCTTTTTCCAGCTCTTTGTTCCTATGATCTTATAAGGCCAAGGGTAGCAGATATACCAGAGAAAGTTTATCCTCAAAAACTGCTGGGTGTATCATGTGAGAATGATAAACAGCAGGTGAATGACCCAGCTTAGAGAATAGATCACACAGGACCACAAACAGCTGACCAGGAGGCTGAAATCTTGGTGAAGTGATCCTGTAATCCAGGGATTTGGACAGAAATGAAAAGAACAAACAAAAGATTATCCATTTTGCTATTCAGCAGATCTGTATTCATCGCAAGAGGTAATGACATATTGGAACCCAATAGAATCTATAAAGAATACATCACTCACTATACATTTTAGTTACACTCTATTTTCACAGTAGATAGCATCCTTTGTTGTACATAAAATACATACATAGCTGTGTAACCAAACATTAGCCTGTATGTCCAAATACATGACTTTTAATTTTGAGAGACAAGTCTTAATAATTTGCATGATCATAGATTTAGAATTTGAAGGGAACTTGGGGGATGTCTAGTTCAACCCCCCTCATTTTACAGATGAAGAAGCTAAGGCCCAAGAAGGTTAAGTGACTTTTTCAAGGTCATGTAGTTAGTAAGCATCAGAAGTGATATTTGAATTTGGGTCCTTTCTGACTCCAGAGACAGTGTTTTGTTTCTCACTGTGCCATGCTAATCTTTACTACCTATCGTATGTTCTTGCCCTGGAGGGGGGTCATACTGCTCCCACATCCATCCATCCAAAAACATTTTTTTCTTGATGGAATCAAGTGAAAGTGTTCACAGACAATCGTGAAATGGAATGTCACACATGCTCACTGTAAGGCTGTGCAGTACTCTTACCATTTTGTCTGCCTTAAAGAATGAAGGGCTCTATGGGGTAATTATATAAATGAGCTTCAGGTTTTGAGGAACAGTTATATACATGTGATTATTATTGTTGTTTTGTGGGGGAAGGGTCTTGGTTGGATTTTGTCATGAATTTTCAGAATACCATCCTGCTCTCTCCCTCTGTCTCTCCCCCTATTTCCTATCAATCATTAGTGTCAACAGATTTGGGGAACTCCAAAGCCTAGTCACTAGAGCCTGGGGACACCTCTGGATGTTAGTTGATATAGAAAGAGGGCCAACTATTTATAAAGTCCTTTTGTTATGTAAAAAAAAATAAGTAACTTAATCTTTTTCACTCTGTCCTTCCCATTACCCCTGTCATGCCATCCTCATTACCCCCTCCCATTCATCTTTCATATAATGAATATTAAATAGAAGCCCCACTCCTATGTGATTAATCTGCTCAAGTGAGAAATAGAAGGCTACCCATGCCCATTCTCATCATGCACTAAATGTCCTGCTTTGTATTAAGCATCTTGAGTTAGTATCCTTAAGATGGGGGTGGTAATATTGGCCTTATCCAACTCGTAGAGTTGTTGACAGAAAAGCTCTTTGTAAACCTTAAAGTCCTAATCACATAAGTGCAGTACAGAAGTACAGTCTATGTAAGTACATAAATAAATACACTGAGCCAGTTTCAGAGTCAGGAATACCCGGATTCAAGTGCTACTCTTGACATATACTGACTGTATGATTCAGGACAATTCACTTAAACTTTCTGTGTTCAATCTAGGCAATTCTCTGAGGTAGTAAATTTCATATCAAATGCTAATTTGCATTGGTATAGAAATTTACTTATTGGAATTTTGGTCTACCAATAAACTCATAGGTCCAGTCCCACACCACCCCCAAAAAAGTTTTAATTATGAGTTTTAGAATCAGCTAAAATGTACCCAAGACAAGTTGTATAAAATTTGCCATCAAATAAATTTTTTAGGAAAATTCAGTTGAGGTGAGGGAAAGAGGGAAGACACCTGGACATTATTAGCCTTTATGGAAAGAGACTCAGAAAACTGTAAGGCTACTCCTAAAAATGGTGTTATGGAATGAAGACAAAGAAAACTAGGTTGGGAAATTGTTCAGTCATTGTCAGTCATGTCTGACTCTTCATGACCTCTTTTGGGGTTTTCTTGGCAAGGATACTGGAGTGGTTGGTCACTTCTTTCTCCAGATCATTTTACAATTACATTTTACAATAAGGAACTAAGGCAAACAAGGTTAAGTGACTTGCCCAGGATCACACAGCTAGTAAGTGTCTGAGGCCAGATTTGAACTCACAGAGACGAGTCTTCCTGATTCTAAGCCCAGTGCTCTGCAGGAGAGAAGACCTTCCTGAATTCAAATAAAATGATCTGGAGAAGGAAGGGGCAAACCACTCCAATATCAGGGCCAAGAAAATCCCAAAAGAGGTCTTTAAGAGTCATACGTGACTAAAACGATGTTGGGAAGAAGCTGAGTGAGGAGAGAAAAGTTAAAAGGGAGAGAGAAAATTTACTCTTATTGTTTGTTAGGTGGTAGGATCCTCACAGGAATCCCTTTCTCTTTGTGGGCTTTGCACATAGTTGGCATTTAATCAGTATTTGAATTCCTAAATCTACCTTATTCTCTTCAAATTCTACTAGTCTTACACCATTCAGTTCAAATGCCATTTACCAAAGGAAGCCTTATGATTCCTACTAGCCGGAAGCAATCTCTCCCTCCTGTACCTTCTTAAAACAGAGATTTGTGCCATTCACTTGGCAATTAATCACATAATGTCTTGTGGTATCTCTGTGTTCTTTTGTACTGCCTAAAAAGCTTGTATTTAGCTTGCAGCATCTTCTTATTTCCAACCAGACTGTAGCATCCTTCAGGAAAGAAATTATCTCAAATTCCTTTGTAGACCCTAAAGCACCTAACATCATAGACCCTCAAATACACTTTACCTCCCTTATGACCCATGAAATCATTCAAGATGAACATTTATAGTCATAATGTAAAATTTAGAGAGTAGTTAGTGATGATGCCCCTTCACTGTACTGATGAGGAAATTGAAGTCCAGGGAAAGAAAAGTATATTCACTGTCATGGTTCAGCTGCCATCCTGTGTGTGATTCCCACAATCTCTATCTCTAGGCCTGACCTCTCTTCTGAGTTCCAGACTGAATCTCTAACTTTATAATTTCTGCATTTTTGTTCTTCTTTTCCCTTCTGTCCCCACTGACAGCTGAAATTCTCCTTTCTTCCTTTGCATCCTACAAATCTCATTCCAAATCCTTTCACTACCTTCCCTTGTCTTTGAGTGATCTTCAAGAGCACCCCTAGACAGAGATTAGTTCTGAGTGAGTTCTCTCCTCTTTCCCTATACCTTGGTCCCATAGGCTTCCCTCATACTTTCCCCTGGCCCACTCTTGCATGCAGGCATGTGGACCCCTTCTTCCCACACGCCATCTTTTCTTGACATAGGGAGTCATCCTGTTCTTGCTCTAGCTTCTGAAATATTCCTCCCTAGTGCATTACATATAGGGATGTGCTGAAGCCTGCTTGAGAGAGTCAATTGTTAAATTTTCAGTGTGAACATTTACATCTCCAAAATCAGCAAACATTATTTTATAGATCATCTGGACTTAAGAAAGTGATGAAAAAAAAGTGTTAAAAATCCAGATTAAACTTAAACTTGTGTCATATATAAATACATATAAATTTTTTTTCAGAGAGTAGCTCGTTAAGCATTTACCAGCATTTAAACGCTCAAATGGTAGGCAGGCAGGCAAGAAGCATTTAATACATGCTTACTATATTCCAGGCACTGTGCTAAGTACTGAGGATACAAATATAAGCAAAAGGAAAAATAGGCCCTGCCTTCAAAGAGCTTACATTCTAACAGAAGAAGACAGCACACAAAAAGGAAGCTGAAAAGCAGGAGGGGAACAGATGTCTAAGCAGGGGTGAAGTGGTGAAGTCCAGAGAGTCATGAATAGACCCAGGAGGGCAATGAAGTGTGGTTAACCTTGGCTTCTACACAAAATGGAGACCACAGAGGAACTTACCAGTGGGAGAAAGGGACCACAGAAATGGAAGAATGTTCCAGGGTGCAAAGACCCCAGGTGCTAAAGGAAGTTCCAGGGTAGGAAGAAAGCTGAGGCATGAAAGTGAAATCAAGAGAATCACAAGCAGGGCCAAGAGCTTACATTCGAGTGGGGGAAGACAATACACAAAAATAAATGGGGTGTACAACATCTGTCTGGCTAATCTTTGTACTGGAGTGACCCTTGTTCAAGTCCTAAGTGAAAGTTTTCTAGCAGGCTATGCAAATTTAGAGACTTTTAGAGGTTATCTAATACAAACTTTTTATAACTGAGGAAATGGAAACCATTGGAGGTGAAATGCCTTTCTCAGTCAATTTCTTCTTCCTCCTCATTTCTGTTGTATAATTCTGCTCCTAGGTCCTTACTGTAAGTCTATCTATTGCTTCAGCTGAATCCATTACTAAACTGTTGTGTCCTTTAATCATTATTCTAATTCCTTGTTGTATCTGTCATGTGTAAATGGACCCACAAAATATGTGATCCTGTCATGACTTAAGGTAATATCCAATATTGTTCTCTCAGCAAAATCATGTCCTTTTCTTCTGTCATCTTACAAGAAATTCTATGCTTTGGCTACTTTATACTCAAAGGTCTTTACAAGCCCAGGTCAGTAGGACTACAAAGATGGATCTCAAATTCACCAGCAGGTAGCATAGCATACTGGATGGGGTATCAGACCTGAAATCAGGAAAACCTGGGTTTAAATCTTGCTTGAGATCCTTGTTTGGTATGTGACCCTAGGCAAATAACTTATCTGTGCTTCATTTTCCTCAACTCATTTGTAAAATGAAAGTGTTGCACTTCATAAAGTCTCTTCTAGCCCTCAATCTATCATCTACTTTATATACTATACTAAGGATTCCCAGAACAAAATCTCTTGTCAGGCAACTGTTTATTCCCCCTCTGCCACAAATCCCAGATACAAAGACTTTCTTTGAAAGAGGATTTACGCAATGTCAGAGCTGAAACAGTTTCACATGGCCCATCATATTTTGTCTAAATGTACCCAGCTATACGTGTACCTTCTTTCTTTCTTGTCTTCTCAGTGCTTCAGTTTCCTCATCTGGAAAATGGGATAATAATGCCAGTAGTATTTACAGCACAGGTTGTTGTGAGGTTTAAATAAGATGATGCATGTAAAGCATTTTGCAGACTTGAAATAGCAATATAAATATCAGTTGCAATGATGATGATGACCTTTCTGGAAAAGAATCATGTCAAGTGATTATCATCCAACTTAATACTCATTCATGATTTTCCCTGATTTCCTATAGATATTGCTATAAGAAGGGGGAAGAGTTTTAAGGTGTAAGTTAGCAATAATATGAGTCCATAGCAGCAGAATCTTCTCTGGAAAGGATGGTGGGGATTGACACCCTCCAGGAAGTCCTATTCTGCACAATTGTCCCCTGGTGAGTCCACCTATAGAAGGACACCTGTCAATGTCTAGAATTTTTTTTTTTAGTTTATTTGTTGCTTATGGAGCCGTCTAGGAAATATTTGAAATAAAGTCTGCCATATGTGTATAATCTGTGCGTCAATCAGTGTTATACCTAGCACTGTGTAACTAGGCACTGAAAAGAATTTATGCCAAAATCTGAGATACAGCCCTGACTTGAAGGTCCTTAAGAGTCTGCTTGCCAAAACAACATGTAACTGTGTAAAAGAGGAGACAACACAAAACAGCATAAAATTAAAGCTAGCTTGTGTGACGAGTCCAGATAAGGGGAAAATCAGTATATATTTGGAGTGGTAGGGGAAGGCTTTCTGGAAGAGACCAGACTTTAGCCGAGAAGGCAATAATCATTGTATAGAAGGCATTAGAAGACAATGTGGTGGAGTGGCAAAGGCACTGGACTGAGAATTCATACAAATCATGCCTCAGATATTAGCTGTGTGATCTTGGAGCTATAAAAGCTCAAAACCACACTAAGACTTGTGGGATATCACCTAGTAATTGCCAAGAAATTTATCATATATATATAATATATATTGGTACAGTAGATGAAACTCTGGACTTGGAATCAGGAAGACCTGAGTTTGAATCCTGCCTAAGACACTTTCATCAGTTTCTTAATCTGTTAAAAATGAGTCAGGTTGGATTCCATGGCCACTAAAGTGTTTTCTCATTCTAAACCTATTATCCTATTATTCTGTCTCTTCTGTGTAACAACCCAATAAGTGCTCTGAAGCTCACTTTCCTTTTCCATAAAATGAAGGGCTTGGATTACATAATCTAAGGCCCCTTTCATGTCTAACATTTTGTGCTGTGCTAAACACAGTATGCAGGGAAACTGTACTATATTCCATATAATAGTGATTTCAAGGAATTTATAGTTTATTGGTAAAGACCACATTTTTAAAAATGTATTCCAACAATACTATAATGTGTATTTCTATTTAATGAATTATATTTTTCCATTGATTACTATGATGAAATCAGACATTTGCTTTGCAGTTAATGAAAGTCAAAATATTCACAATATTGTGATTGTCACAAAATGAAACCAACAGGTATTAAATATAGCATAATCCCAGAAGTTCTAAGAAAATGGTCATCATATTGCCTTCCATTTGTGTAGATCATCTCAATCTCTGAAGTGTTTGAAATTCAATTGCCTACTTCACCAGCCTCAAACTTCCATAATACTTGTAACTTTACTCCTTTAGGATTTTTTTTTTACAATGGTTTTTAGCACCTGCTCAATTGCTTGAATTTATGGATCTCTATGGAGATTTCTTTCCTGGGTATTCCTTGTGATATAGAAACAAGAATATTTGCATAGGAGTAAACAACAAATGGGGAAACTGAAGGCTGAAGTCCTTGTTGAGCAGTGAAAACCTATCCAAGTATTTGCTGGGTCAAAGATCAAACAATTCAATAGACTATTCGTGTTGAAATTTATATTCCTACTCAATGTTTTGTTTATTTAAATGGTGGCTTCAAGAGAAATTATTAGCACAAATAATACGATGTAAAAAGGCCAGTCATTGTTGAAGATCAACTGGATGTAAAGTTTACCTATGAGATAATTTGGCTCTCCTTCTAGACAGGACAGGACAAGACAATATGGTGACCATAATTCCTTAAGGTAGGAATAGGTTTTGAGGGGTCCCTTCTTTCATATTAACTAAATTCCTCTTAAGTGAGCATGCTTTTAATAAACTGAGACCCATTGAACCTTAATCTATCTCCTCCAAACCATTTTGAATATTAAGAATGGGAGCAGGAAGAAAAATATGACTAGACACACTGAGAGACCCTCTGATGATTCAAGAATGACATGCTCAGGAAAACATACCAACCAATAGTGACACTACACCCATAATTAACCTCTAAAAAGAGATGTGCTATGGCCTCTGAAATGGGTAATTTCTAAGTTAATGATTAAAGGAAAAATGAACAGTAAGGGTTTAGGTAAACAGATTTCTTTACTTTGTTAGAGTTCTCCTGACCAAGACTTTAGGACACATTTTGATCAAGTCCCTATACTGTGCCTTAAAGCCTACTTAAAAAATGGAAGCCACAGATACACACACACACACACACTGACTCCCTTTATTACTTTCAGAACCTAGGATTTCTCGATGCAGAGAAAGAACCACACGCAGGTGACCATGTTCACCTTCCAGGGATTCTCCAGCTTCCATGAACACCAGATCACACTCTTTGCAGCGTTCCTCACTTTGTACACCATAACCCTGGCCAGCAATGTTATCATTGTGACCATTATCTGCATTGACTGCCATCTCCACACCCCCATGTACTTCTTCCTGAGCATCTTGTCCACTTCTGAGACCTTGTACACACTAGTCATCATCCCACGCATGTTGTCCAGCCTCACAGGATGGAACCAGCCAATTTCACTGGAGGGCTGTGCCACTCAAATGTTCTTCTTTGTCACTTTGGCCATCAACAACTGCTTCCTCCTCACAGCAATGGGGTATGACCGCTATGTGGCCATTTGCAACCCCCTGAGATATATGATTGTCATGAATAAAAAGGTATGCATCTACTTAGTGAGTGGAGCATGGACCATTGGTTTGACTGTTGCATCTATACAGGTGACATCTATATTCAACATGCCTTTCTGTGAAGCACAGGTGGCCCATTTCTACTGTGACATTCGCCCCATGATGAAGCTTGCCTGTATAGATACCACAATCAATGAGATCATCACCTTTATCATCAGCTCAGGGGTGATCCTGGTACCTATGGGCTTAGTTTTTATCTCCTACATCCTCATTATCTCTGCCATCCTCAAAATCGCCTCAGCTGAGGGGCGGAAAAAGACCTTTGCCACTTGTGCTTCCCACCTCACAGTGGTGATTGTCCACTATGGCTGTGCCTCCGTTGCCTATCTCAAGCCCAAATCAGAGAATTCAGTGGAACAAGATAGATTACTCTCCATTACTTACACCCTCATCACACCATTGTTGAACCCTGTGGTATATAGCCTGAGAAATAAGGAAGTCAAGGATGCCCTAAGGAGAGCCATGGGCAAAAAACTGCCCTAAGCAACTGTGTGTTTCTCAAGCAGTCTTTGGGCCCATAAAGCTTATATGTTGACCACAAATATTACAAATAGTCCAAGTATATTAAATATCATTTTTATTCCTAAATTTGTATAGAGCCTCTTAATTCATTGGAGGAAGTATAAACAAGAAAGTAATCTGATTTGGGTCTCCACTGCTTAAAAAGGAATTGGGCACCCCTCTCTTACTGCTTCCACACCTCCTTGCCTGATTCCTGGTAATCCTAGATTCCCTTGTGTATTCTCTGGTTTAAGTGAGGACACTCTGTTTTTCTCCTTAGTTCACCTGGAGACAAAGGTTTGACTTCTCCAAAAGAACTTAAGTAACATTATGAAAGGAGGTAAATTTTTTTAAATTATGGAGCATAGATTTGGGAGGTTTAGAACCTAGAAATCTTACCCAAAAATAGACATAATCCAGTACAACAATTTAGACCTCTGGCTCCAGCATCTAGGCTTGGCCTCATCGTGTGATCTGCCACATCTTTATCTTAGGAGAGGACCCCTAATTTTATTGTCCATGTCAGAACTTAAATTCCACCTCTCCCTCTTTCCTCTCCCTGCCCCAATCAAAAAGACTGGAACAACTACCACTCCAGAAGCTTTGAGGGTAGGATCACTAGAGAACTAGTAAAGAAAATCCTCAAGTAGGACTGTGTTTGGTCCCAGGTGAGAAATGTATACCCCTTTCCAACATGGCACCATTTCTTTATAGGTATTATAACATGTCTTTGCCTGGACATTTATGCTTTGAGAGCTTTCCTCTATCTTACCCATCCCCTATACCTCTCCCCTTAGCCAACTGGACCTTTGTCCTTTATCTGTTGTCACAGGCCATAAAGACAGGAACAAAAGTAGCTGCAGGGACAACTTCTTTGTGGTCCACTAAGTTTGGACTCCCAAATAAAACATCAGAAAGAGCCCTCAGCCTTGGATAACAAAAAATAATGCCTAAAGTAGCAAAGGTCCTCCATCCATTATCCTTACTTTTTTATTTGCACTGCCTGGGTGGTGAAGTATCATCTCATGAGATGGTATTTATAAAGTGCTTTGCAAACTCTAAAATCCTAGTATCAATACTAGCTATTATTATTTTTATTATCATTTATCCCTAATAATAATAATGATAATGATAATTCATATAGCACTTTAAGATTTGCAAGCACTTTACATATGTTATCCCATTTCATCCTCAAACCAACCTTTTATAGTGGGGAAAGAGGTACTCCACATAACTGAATTTTCTGGAATAACAATTTTTAGGATAATGAATTGCATCTCTTTGCACTGAAGAACTTTTATCACTCTAACTGTTCTTGCTTGAAATTTTTCTGTAATATATAATGTGCTTTCTGACCTTCTTTAGTCCTTGTACTTAGGGTAGTTTATATCCTGACGAAAAGTTATCCTAATTCAAACTAATTTAAGTTTAATCTGATTCTTCTACACAAAGATAATGTATAGTCACATAGATGGTCACATTCATGACCAAAATCTTCATTCACAATGTTTTATACTAATAACCAGAAGCACCTTATTTATTCAAGAACAATATATTTGTACCACATGACGATTTCTAAAGTGTGAGTAAATTGATTTGAAAGGGAGACCCAGCAACTAATCACACTAAATTTTATTTGACAGGCTATATTGCTGTCAGAATGATGCTCTGTACTCACCAGTCCATTCAAAACCCTTCAAAAGCCCCCATTAAGTAACCTTCAAATTCCTTTGCCTAGCATTCAGTGTTCTCCACAACACAGTGCTACCCTGCCCTTCTATGTTTATTTCATACTTTTCAATAATGTAGTCAGATTAGACAACTTACTTTCCTCCATAATTTCCACCAATAAATCACTTCCATGCCATTCCTTGTGCTATTCTTTCTGCCTGGAATCACCTCCTCCCCATCCCCAAGCTCAACTCCCTCTGTTGAATTCCTACCCATCCTCAAAAGACCAACTTAAATGCTACCTCCTCTGTGAAGGCTTTCCTGATCCCCCAAGTGAGTCATAAATCTCCCCCTAGAGCTCAAGAAGCACTATCCCTTTATCTTTGTGTATTAATTATTTATGTGTGTTATATCCTCCCATTAGACTATAAGCACAGTGAGACATAAACCGAATCTTAGTTATCTTGGTCCTCCCTCACTGTCTAAGAAAGATAATACACTGCATACAGTAGATACTCAATACTTTTCAAAAGTCTCCTTATTCCCATGAAACCAATGCCTTTCTAATTATAGCATATTGACCCCAAGGAAAAAGTTCTTAATTTTTCCCACAAATATTGTCATATTTTTATAGACAAAGCACAAAATGAGGAACTATTCCTTAAGATTCTGAAAATTTTCACTGGAGATGTTTTCATAAGTACATTGGAGAAGACATTTGGGGAGATTCAAGAGCATTTGATTGACAGCTTTTTTAAAAGTTGATGCAGGAATGTATGCTTTGCTTCTTTTTTCCCCATTGTAAATGTCCCTGAAGTAAGCATAGGTGGCAGGTTGCTAGTCATTCTCTTACCACCAAAAGAGAATTTTTTTTCTGTTTTTTTGAGCTGCCATAACCTCAGCACTAGCAGCTTCAAATGCAAGACACACTTGCCTTTGTAGTATGAGAACAAACCCTAAGGTGAACTGAATTTTTCATACTTGAATTATTAAATCATAGAATGCTACAGCTGGAAGGGGCCAGGAAGATCATTCAGTGTAACCTTCTTGATAAAGAACGAATCCATGACAAGTGGTCATCCAGGCTCCACTTAAGCATTTACAAAGACAAGGAATTCTTTGTATAAAAAGGATTTATCAGATAGCTATAATTGCCAGAAAGCTTTTCTCTGAAATACACTAAAATTGCCTGTCTATAACTTCCTGTTGCTATCACCTCCTCTACTAAGTACCAGAGAAAGCTTATAATGTGAGTGTTTGTCCTCCAGCACCAGTGTTACAGCAGAGTACTAATGTATATATTTTAAATAATTCAATACTTCAAGGATCCATTACTGTGCCCATATGGGTACTTCTCCTCTGCACATTGCAACCCCTCTATGATTCAAGATCATCGACTTAGAGCCATAAGGAAATTAGAAAACATCTAGTTTAAACCCATCATTTTAAGATGGAAGAACTGAGGTCCATAGAGGTTAAAGTGTTTTGTCCAAGATCTCACAGGCAGTGACAGAGGCAAGAACTCAGGTCCTCTGACTCCAAAGCCTCTTTCCACTGCACCACAGTAATTTCTGAGATAATCTTTAACAGTTAATGTCCTCCCTCCCCCCACCCAAAAAAAAAAAACCCTGATCATTGATACTGATTGGTTTTGCTGATTTTTTTCTCTTCTCTTTTTCTTCAAAAATGTTTTCTTTGGTATAAATGATGACGTTCTAGGAGGGGAAAAAGAAAAGGAAACAAGAAAATCTGAATGATTTAAAAACAAAGATATTAATAAAAGTCTATTTTTAAATCACCATCTGGTGTCCAAACTCAAAATAAGCCTCTCTGAACTTAGCTGGGCTGGTCCTCAGATGTTAGAAATACAATCCATCACTTTCCATTGACATAGCTTTTGAAAATTCAGGGTTACATCTATGACACAATGAAATATGAAGGGACTTCCCAGAAGGCATACATTAAAAATTAACATATTGCTCTTATGGGTAGGGAGTATAATGTCATGACCTCAAAAAAAAAACCCCAACAACAACAACAATAGGGTATCACAACTACAAAGAGCATTGGATTTCAGTCACTTAGTCCCATCCCATAAACATAACCGGAATGGTGGGAGAAGATGGGGGATGCCCTTCCCCACACTGGGTCAGCTATTTACTATTTACTACTATACCTTCCATACATATGTAAAATTAAAAACATATTCCTCCCCTCTCTTAAGACCCTGAAAAGTAAGGTATTTCAAGTGTTTACCATCCTAGCTTTTTTTAAATTTATTTTAGCTAACATTTATATAGCGCTTTAAGGTTTGCAAAGTGCTTTGCACGTGTAATCTCATTCAATCTTCAGAATAACACTGGGAAGTAGGAGCTATTACTATCCCCATTTTACAGATGAGGATACTAAGGCAGAGAAAGACATTAAGTGATTTGTCCAGGGAAGGATAGGGAAGGGAATAAACATTTATATGGTGCCTTCTATGTCCAGGCACTATGCTAAGCATTTTTTTCAAATATTAACTCATTTGATTTTCACAACAATCCTGGGAGGTAGGTAAAGTAGGTTATCCCCATTATACAGTAAAGGAAAGTGAGGCAAACAGAAATTAAGTGACTTACCCAAGGTTACACAGCTAGTACACGTCTGAGGCTGGATTTAAATTCAGATCTTTCTGACTTCAAGTCAATACTCTCTCCGCTGTGCCAGCTACCTGCCTGCCATCCCACTCCAAGCAGAATTTGCTTGTTTTCCACACTGCTCTCACTCTACATTCACAACTTCAGTTTGGTCATTTTTTAAGTATACAGATATAAGTTACACTAACCCATTCGCATTTTGTGTAGCATGTATCATATAGTCATTGTTCCTTACTTTCTAAAAACTATATACATAGTTAAATATACATACACATATGCCTATAACTTGACACAAATCGTTTGGAATGCTGTCCCTCAGTAATCCTGCATGTTGGTCCAGTACGCCCTTCCCTGTTCCTATTCAGCCACTGGTTTAGTGGAAAGCACACTGAATTTCAAGTAAGGGGCCATAAGTTTAAACTTAGGTTTGCCACTTATGAACTGTGTTACCTTAGACACATCATTCCATGATTCTGAAAGTCATTTTCATCACCTGTAAAATGGAGAGTTTGAATTAGATGACCTCTAAGGTACCTTCGGATTCTAAATGTATAATATTACAGAACTACCTCACTTTGTGGTGTTTGACTAAGGTGACAATAGTGGTAGCTGCTCTGTGGCCTGGGCCTATTCATACATTACAATATCTCATAGCCATATTTCTCATCTCTT